ACGCACGGCACTCGCAAAACTGAAAATTCACCCCTGGGGGTGGGGCTGGGAAGGGCACCCCGGAGACCCCCCCGGGAGCATAATATGTTCTATTGCGGGTATTTCGGGTATGACCATGCTCGGCCGAATGCACCATATCCCGTCCGATTTGTGAAGTTAAGCGGCCACAGGCCTCGTTAGCACGGCGATCGGTGATGGCGCTGGAACCCGGGGTGCCGTGCCCTCTTCAATCTTCTTTTTTTGGCAACATCTTGGGGTGCGGTGCGGTAGGCGCCGCGGGCCTCTGATGCCAATCACGGCTCGCCTTTGGCAATGAGAGATGTCTTATTGCGGCGCCCAGCTCACGCACTTCCATCTCCCAGGGAAACCGAACATACCTCACACATTGTTGTGGTGGGTCGGGCGGTGGGGCGCTAACAAACCAAAATACCTATGCGGCGAAATGTTCTTATGGGGGAGTGTGTTCTTATTGAACTTGCTTTTCCTTTTCTGCATTTCCCTTTCGCTCCACCACATGGCAGTAGCGGAACCCCTTAACATCACCATAGCGGAATTTGCCTTTATCATGGGGGTTTGGTGAATCCTTCCCTTTGTTCTTTTTTCATGGCGCCGCGTGCCGCCGAGTAAAAGGTGCGGTTGGATGGCCGCCATGTCACGAGGGGAACGGGGAAGGGTCATCTTTGCGGAATACCTTTCAAACCCACCCTACTCAGCGTTGAAGTAGGGAAAGCAAGAGTTTTCCACTATGCCCAATCCCACTCATTTTATAAGTGAAAAACACCCCAGGGAGCCACCCCCCACCTCTCTCTTGTTGCGCACAAGGCGCTGTGACAAGTTGGCCGCCCGCCTTGGGTCGTGGGGGTTGTGTTCTCCTCCTCCCCCTTCTTGGGGTGAGGGGTAAAAAAAAGAAAAGGGCAAAACCCGACAACGAGCCTCGAGCATTGCGCACGTAGACCGGTTGCCGGGTTTCTTCCTTTTTTTTCCTCATCCTCACTCTTCTTTTTCTCTCAAGTTCAAAGTCCCTGAGCATGATATTTCAGGCCTC